CCCCCCACCTCCAGACCTGACCTCCCCAAGCTGGTGGAGAGGCTGATGGCCCTGGGCGCAGACCACGTCATCACGGAGGAGATGCTGAGAAAGCCAGAGATGAAAGACATGTTTAAGGTACCTCAATGCTGATCCCACTGGAGAGACTGTCCAGGGCTGTCCCGGTAGATCAGCGCTGCGGGGAGGGGTTCAGGGATGGTGGGAAGGACAAACCTCTCTAGATCAGAGAGACTGAGGGCTTTTGCTGAAGTCTGCAGAAGTTGAGGGCTTTTGCAGCTACTGCCAGGGCCAGCTCGTAGATTTTAGCTCTGCGACTCAGCTGCCCTCAGGTAAATGTTGAGGTTAAGGCAGTTGCTCCCTCAAGAACCGCGGTCCCACCCTCAAAAGGAGCCCTAAAATTTGGGAACCTTCTTAATAAACTCTTGCAGAGCATCCCGAAGCCCCGGCTTGCCCTGAACTGCGTCGGAGGCAAAAGCACGACGGAGATGCTGCGGCATCTGCAGTAAGTTTGGCTGGGTGGTGGCTTGGGCACGGGTTTGGGGACAGTGGCCAGCATGGCATGAGTCCTGGAGCCCAAGATGTGGCCAGAGATGTTGTTAGCTGATGTTGGTCATCACTGAACTGAAGTTCTGGTGAGGGAAGGTCAGTGGAGAAGTGGTTTTGGAAAATAGCAGTGACCTGAAGTTAACCCATCATCACCGCATGTCTCAAATGCTGCCGGTGGCTGAAGGCAGCTGAGGTCCAGTTATGAAGGTCCGCCGGGTCCTGCCCAGCTATAACTGGTGTATTTAGCTGCAAATTCAGCGAGTGATGTGTGGGAGCGAGAGGGGAGCTCTGGAGAGCAGAGCCTGATGGATAACTGGGGGAGCTTTGGTGCCAGAATAGCCCCGTCGATGCGGTTTGGGTACAGCAGAGGCTATAAGGCCAAAGCTGCACGTTGGGGACGGGTGACCAAATACCCCCTTCCTCTTCCAGGCCCAAAGGGACCATGGTCACCTACGGGGGGATGGCAAAGCAGCCCGTGATGGTGCCTGTGGTGAGTACTGGAGATGCTCGCAATTTCCCTCGGGGCATGTCCCCTGTGCCCCGCTGCTGATGTCCCCATCCCCTTGGCACCGCAAGAGTTCGGCTCTCCCCTGCCGACAAATTCAGAGCCTCCAACCTTTTCTTTTTTTAACTAACCGGCTCTGATACGGGACGAGCGGGTTCGCATCCCGGTGCGGGGGCTCTCGGCTTTATTTATGGAGGATTTGGGCCGCTGTGAAATCCCAGCGGGGAAATGGCCCCGCAGACACCGAGCGTCAAACCTGCCCTGACTCCACACCTCTGAGTCACCTCTCCGCGTGCCGCAGTGCCCCGACTCACAAATGAGAGCGCTAACGAAGGAAGCGAGGAGCCTCATTGCCACCTTCCGCCGCCGCGCGTGTCTCACCCGGGCGTGCGGCTCCTTCTCTCCACAGAGCGCGTTCATCTTCCGAGACGTGCGGCTCCGCGGCTTCTGGATGACGCAGTGGAGGAAGGACCACGCGCAGGGTGAGCAGGATGGGTGCTGAGGGGTGGCACCAGTGGGGCGAGTCAGCATGGGAAGGGGTACCAAACCACCACATCGGTGCCGTCCTCTTTGCTTTTACCTGGGCTGCATCAAAAGAAGTGTGGCCAGCAGGTCAAGGGAGGTGATCCTGCCCCTCTACTCCACTCTTGTGAGACCCCACCTGGAGTACTGCGTCCCGCTCTGGAGTCCCCTTCAGACTGCTTTGGTTCATCTGGAATTTTTCCCAAAACCTGCAGAAATTTAAGGATCGAGGTCTGTCCAGGTAAAACACACCACAGTCTTGGCTAACTTCTCAGCATTGTTAATAATTGTAATTGTTAATCGGGTTGTAAGGCACTGGCACAGGTTGCCCAGAGAGGTTGTGGAGGCCCCATCCCTGGAGGTGTTCAAGGCCAGGCTGGAGGTGGCCTTGGGCAACCTGGGCTGGTGGGAGGTGTCCCTGCCCAGGGCAGGGGGGTTGGAACTCAATGATCGTCAAGGTCCTTTCCAACCTAAACCATTCTATGAGTGCTGATAGTCCTCAGGGCGGCTGCAACGCGGGCGCTGGGCAGCGTGGTGCCACCGTGCCCCGTCCCACCTGCCCGAGCTGGGAGCACATCGCACCCCGGTGTCCCCAGGACCCTGTATGGCTTCAGGTGGGTGTTTGCCCTGGGACAGTCGATGGTGCCGGGGCGGGGAGGGGCCCCCTTTTTTGGGAGAGCCTGGCCGGTATGATGGACGCCCTGTGCCAGCTCATCCGGAGGGGACAGCTCACCGCGCCGGCCTGTACCGAGGTCCCGCTCCAGGACTACGAGGCGGCGCTGGAGGCATCCATGAAGCCCTTCACCTCCTCCAAGCAGATCCTCCTCCTCTGACCCACAGCTCCACCTCAGCTGAGCTTTCCCTCGGAAAGACAATGCTTCAGGGTGGAAAAAAAGACAACCCTCCAGATACATTGATTAATTTTTTCTTTTTTTTTCAGGTTTTCTGCGTTTTTTTAAACTTTCGGTTGCCCACTGGAAGTTTTAAAAGCCTCTGCAGCTTTGCATGGATGGCAGCAGGTGTGATTGCTTCTGGAGGGAGGCTGAACACTGCTTTAGCTGGGGTGGGTTTGGGTGCCGGAGAAAGCTCAGGGAGCCCGGGGTCGGCAATTCGCTCGGCTCAGGGTGTCAAAACAGCATCGGTTTCCCCCTCGTGTGTGTGATTTTTGGGGTTCAGGGGGCTGCACTGCTGCCTCCTGCCTGGCTTTGTGGCCATCACTGGTGTTCTGCTGTTTGCGCTGTCCCTTCAGGTGATTTTTGGCTACTTTTGGGTGACTTTTCAGGGTAGCAGGGGGCTGGTCACTGGCCGGCTCCCAGCCGACACTGTGTCCCCTGCGCTGCTGCAGCCTCTGAGCCACCTCCATGTGTCCCCCTCCGAGTCCAGCAGCCCTGAACCTGGGCTGGATGCACTCGCCACGTTGAATTGCGGAGAAAAAAAAACCCAAATTTTAAATTTTTTGAGCCAGTGCTGCCGCACCAGCGGGAGCTGTAAGACACCGCAGATGCCATTGTCCCCTCAGTGGCATTGGAGGTGGGGACAGGACTGACCCCGCAGGTCACAGCCAGACACGTGCAGGGCAAGGGGGGCTTTTTGTAATACCTGGACTTGAATTGAGTTTTGCTGCTGTTCTGCTGCCGCTACTGAGTGTGATGAGAAGCTCTTGGAAATCAATGTCTAATACACATATATTTTTTTTTAAGGTGCTGCTAATAAGTGTTTCTGTGCTCAGTCGGATGCCTGAGGGGTGCAGGGATGCACCCCTGTCGGATGCAGGGGATGCGCGGCATCGAGGATGGGCAAACCCAGTGCCCCGGGGCTCCCTCCCTGCCTGGCCCTTTCCCTGTCCTAAACCCTGCCTTTGCCAACCTGTAAAGCTTTAATTACAGTTGCAGGTAGATAATTAGCGTCCCGCTAAAAGCGGCTGCAGGGTGGATGTGGTTTTGGGCAGACAGGACTGGCTCTGGCCCGTTAGGATCATAGAATCACGGAACGGTTTAGGTTGGAAGGGACCTTGAAGATCATCAAGTTCCAACCCCTCTGCCCTGGGCAGGGACACCTCGCCTGTTGGGCCCCACAAACAGCATTTCTTACCCCAAATCTGTGCCCCGAGTCAGACAAAGACACGTTTTTCCCTGCAATTATTGCAATGGGAAGGACAAGGCTCTTCCTCGGGGCGACAAGAGCCACGAGTCCATTCAAAAGCCATTTCAAAGCAACACGCTTCATTTTTGGTCTTAATGACAACATTCGGTGTAGGGGAGAGCTGCTGGTGACCTCCCTCCGCTCCGTGGGGACCTGCCCGGCCTTCTGACGTCCATTGCAAGCCCAGGTTATTTATTGCCCCCACCCCAAAATTGGTGGCCACCCCTGCCCCTCCACTCGCCCTCAGGTTTGGGGTTGGAAGAGGAAAGTTCAGTCCTGAGCTGTGTGGGGATGAGATGGCGTGAGGGCGATGCATGTCCTCACCCCTCCTTCCTCCAGCAGCTCCACCAGTAAAGGCAGAACCACAACCAGGCTCTGCCAAGAGAGTGAAAATCCCAAAAATGTGCTATCAACCTTCATAAACCCCAGTGATGGAATAAGCGGGGAGAGAAACTCTTTGTGCTCCCATTGGGAGTGAGGTTCAGCTCTGCTCAACCCTATTAGACAGCAGAGAATCCACACAGCAGCCCTTGCCAAAAAAAAAAAAACCCTACCAATTCAAGACATGGCAGAAGGGTTTCCCCAACCCGGGAAAAACAAGCCAAAGAAAAATTAGGTGGGACTGCCCCAGGAGGACTCCTCTCCCACCCCTGCTGCCATCTCAACCCCTAACTGGGATGCTGGAGGATAGACAGACTGGGAGGACTGGGAAGAGACTCTCCTGCACAGCCATCCGCCAGCACCGCGCTTGCAGGGGACACAGCGAGGTTTGGTCACCCTCCCCAGCTTGGTTCCCAATGCCCACGGCTGCTTTCGGCTGCTTCCAGGATTCCTGCAGCAGCACCTTCTCCAGGGGTCGGGATTTGGGGGGGGCCGAGAGCCCTCGTGGGCAGGAAAACCAGGGGGGACAGGGAGGGACTCCAGCCACCCCCCTCCCACCACGGCTGGAGGGAGAACACCCCGGGGGGCAGATGTCACGTCACAGCATCCCAGACTGGTGGGGGCTGGAAGGGCCCTCTGGAGCTCCCCCATCCCACCCCCCGCCAGAGCAGGGGCACCTCCAGCAGTGGCA